GTGGAGCTGTACTGGTAGAGGTCTGCTGTCTGCTAGTACTGGCTGTGGATAACAAGGTACCGTTGGGGGGGGGGGGGGGGGCTGTCTGCTAGTACTGGCTGTGGATAACAAGGTACGTTGGGGGGGGGGGGGGGTGGTACCTAGAAGAGTAGCTTTCTGTATGAGCAACAGCTAATGGGCCATCCTAAAAAAACTAAATGTTGTATTCCAGACGGCAGCAGAGGAGCTGTGTCTCATGCTCAGCCAGGTGTTCCAGATAGTTTACACTGAGTCCACCATAGACTTCCTGGACAGGGCCATCTTTGACGGAGCCACCACCCCCACCAGGCACCTCTCCCTCTACAGTGGTGAGGTTCAATTTAAATTCTGTTCTGCTGTTAATACTAGGAGCAGGAATAAATACTGGGATTAGGCTCTGCTGTTAATACTAGGAGCAGGAATAAATACTGGGATTAGGCTCTGCTGTTAATACTAGGAGCAGGAATAAATACTGGGATTAGGCTCTGCTGTTAATACTAGGAGCAGGAATAAATACTGGGATTAGGCTCTGCTGTTAATACTAGGAGCAGGAATAAATACTGGGATTAGGCTTGCTGTTAATACTAGGAGCAGGAATAAATACAGTGGATTAGGCTCTGTTAATACTAGGAGAGGAATAAATAGGGATAGGCTCTGCTGTATACTAGGAGCAGGAAAATACTGGGATTAGGCTCTGCTGTTAATACTAGGAGCAGGAATAAATACTGGGATTAGGCTCTGCTGTTAATACTAGGAGCAGGAATAAATACTGGGATTAGGCTCTGCTGTTAATACTAGGAGCAGGAATAAATACTGGGATTAGGCTCTGCTGTTAATACTAGGAGCAGGAATAAATACAGTGGGGGGGGGGGATTAGGCTCTGCTGTTAATACTAGGAGCAGGAATAAATACAGTGGGGGGGGGGGGGGTTGGGCCCTGCTGTTAAACTGGGCGGGAATAAAAAGGGGGGGGGGGGGGGGGGGGGGTTTAGGCTTGCTGTTAATACTGGGCAGGAAAAAAATACAGGGGGGGGGGGGGGGGGGCCCGGGGGGAGGGAAAAAATTTGGGGGGGGGGGAATTTTAGGCTTGCTGAAATATGGGAGCGGGGAATAAATACAGTGGGGGGGGGGGGGGGAGGGAGGCTCTGCTGTTATTAAGGGCTTCAGGGGGGGGGGGGAAATTAGGCTCTGTGTTAACTAGGGCAGGAAAAAATACAGTGGGGGGGGGGGGATTAGGCTTGCTTTTTAAATACGGGAGAGGAATAAATACAGTGGGGGGGGGGGGGGTTTTTAAAAGGGACTTAAGGGGGGGGGGGGGATAGGCTTGCTGTTAATACTAGGAGCAGGAAAAAATACAGTGTGGGGGGGGGGTTTAGGCTCTGTTTGTAATAAGGAGCAGGAAAAAAATACGGGGGGGGGGGGGGGGGGGATAGGTTGCGTTAATATAGGAGCAGGAAAAAAAAAAGGGGGGGGGGGGGGGATTAGGCTTGCTTTAAAATATAGGAGCAGGAAAAAATACGGGGGGGGGGGGGGGGGGGGATTAGGTTTTTAAAGGGCAAAAAAAACGGGGGGGGGGGGGGGGGGAAGGGGGAATTAGGGGGGAAAAAAAAGGGGGGGGGGGGGGGGGGAATTGGGGGGGAAATTAAAAAGGGGGGGGGGGGGGGGGTTGGGGGTTGGGCTCTGCTTTTTAATATAGGGAGGAAAAAAAATACGGGTGGGGGGGGGGGGGGATTAGGCTCTGTGTAATTATGGGAGCGGGAAATAAAAACAGGGGGGGGGGGGGGGGGGTTAGGCTCTGCTTTAAACAGGAGCAGGAAAAAAATAAGTGGGGGGGGGGGGTTTAGGCTCTGCTTTTTAAACTAGGAGCAGGAAAAAATACAGGGGGGGGGGGGGGGGATTAGGCTTGCTTTTTAATAAGGAGGGAAGGGGAAAAAAATACAGTGGGGGGGGGGGGGGGAAAAAGGGCGGAATTAAAAAAGGGGGGGGGGGGTTAGGCTCTGGTTATACTAGGAGCAGGAATAAATACGGGGGGGGGGGGGGGGGGTTTAGGCTTGTTTTAATACTAGGAGCGGGGAATAATACAGGGGGGGGGGGGGGGTTGGGCTTGGTTAACTAGGGCAGGAAAAAACAGTGGGGGGGGGGGAAAGGGGGGTTTGGGCTCTGTGTTTATAGGAGCGGGAATAAAAATCGTGGGGGGGGGGGGGGGGAGGGTTTGGGGGGGGAATTGGGGCTAAAGGGGGGGGGGGGGGTGGGGGGATTAGGGGGGGGGGGGGTTGGGGCTTGCGTTAATACTAGGAGGGGAATAAATAAAGGGGGGGGGGGGATTAGGTTTGTTACTAGGAAAAATAAAAAGGGGGGGTTTTTTGTTTTTCCCAGGGGGGTAAAAATGGGGGGGGGGGGGATTAGTCTGTGTTTTAGGGGAGGGTTTTAAGTGGGGGGGGGGGGGGGGGGGATTGGGGGTTGGTTGTGTTTATGGGAGCAGGTAAATGTGTGGGGGGGGGGGAATTAGGTTGCTGTTTATAGGAGCAGGAAAAAATAAGGGGGGGGGGGGGGGGGGGGGGTTAGGCTCTGCGTTTTTTATAGGAGCGGAAAAATCTGGGGGGGGGGGGGGGGGGTTTGGTCTGTGTTTTAGGAGCAGGTAATTTAAGTGGGGGGGGGGGGGGTTTGGGGTTTTAAAAGTGTTTTCTGTTTTTTGATTTCCACAATTTAGTTTTCCCTTTGTGTAAAGATCCAAGCAAGGGGATTTTAAGGAAGCCTTTGAAGCGGGGAGGCCAGCACTTTGTCGGAGCTATCGTTCTGTTGTTTTTTTAAGTAGTTCCAGGGTTTAATGCTTGCTGTGTGTTTAAGTTAGTTCCAGGGTTCTAATGCTGTTGTTCTGTGTTGTTTAGGTAGTTCCAGGGTTCTAATGTGTTGTTCTGTGTTTAGGACCAGGGTTTAAGCTTTGTTTGTTTGTTTAAGTATTTCCGGGGGTTAAAGTTTTGTGTCGGTTTAGTAGTTCCAGGGTTCAAAGGGTTGTTGTGTGTTTAGGTAGCCCCGGGTTCTAAGCTATATTCTGTCGGTTTCTATGTTATTTTCCAGGGTTTAAGCTTTTTTCTGGTGTTTAGGTATTTCCCGGGTTTCTAATGTATAGTTTGTGTGTTCTATGTTATTTCAGGGTTTAATGTTTTTCTGGGTTATAGTTAGTTCCAGGGTTCTAATGCTTGTTCTGTTGGTTTAGTTATTTCCGGGTTCAAATTTATATTTCTGTTTTTCTTATAGTTCGGGTTCTAATGTTTTTGTTCTGTGTTTTAGTTATTTCCAGGGTTTAATGCTATAGTTCTGCGGTTCTAAATTTTGTTCAGGGTTTAATGCTGTTGGTTGTTTAGGTATTTCCAGGGTTTAATGCTTTTTCTGTGGTTTTAGTATTTCCGGGTTTAATGCTTTTGTTCTGTGTTTTAGGTATTTTCCGGGTTCTAATGCTAAGTTCTTCGTGTTCTTAGTTTTTTCCCAGGGTTTCTAAGGGTTTGTTCTGTTTTTTAGGTATTTCCGGTTCTAATGCTTGTTCGTTGTTTTTAATAGTTATTTTTCCAGGGTTCAATGCTGTTTTTTTTTTTTTTTGGGTAGTTCCAGGGTTTAAATCTTGTTCTGTGTTTAATTTTTAGTTCCGGGTTAATGCTGTTGTTTTTTGTTTAGGTAGTTCAGGGTTCAAAGTATAGTTGTGTTTGGGTATTTTCCGGGTTCTAAGCTTTGTTTTTTGGTTTTATAGTTAGTTCCCGGGGGTTTAATGCGGTTCTTCTGGGTTTTTATTAGTCCAGGGTTCTAATGCGTTTTTCGTGGTTAGGTAGTCCGGGTTAATGTTATTTCTGTTGGTTCTATAGTTAGTTCCAGGGTTCTAATGCTGTTGTTCTGTTTAGGTAGTTCCAGGGTTCTAATGCTTGTTTTTTTGTTTTAGTATTTCCAGGGTTCTAAGTTTGTTGGGCTTGTTTAGGGTTATTCCAGGGTTTAATGCTGTTTCTGTGTTGTTAGGTAGTTCCAGGGTTCTAATGCTATAGTTCTGTCTGTGTTCTATAGTTAGTTCAGGGTTTCTAATGGTTTTTCTGTGTTGTTAGGTATTTCCCAGGGGGTTCTAATGTTTTTTTGTTGTTTTTCTATATTTAGTCCAGGTTCAAAGCTGTTGTTTGTTTTGTTTAGGAGGGGTTTTAACATGTTTGCTTTTTAAAGGGGTCCGGGAAGTGGTTTGTGTGGTTAGGAGGTAGGGTTCTTGTTGTTTCTGTGCGTTGTAGGTTTTCCGGGTTCTTGCGGGGTTTGTTCTGGGGGGGTTGTTTCTTTTTCGTTCCGGGTTTCTGGAGGGGGGGGGTCCTCCGTTCTCCCCCCCTCCTGGGTCGAGGGGGTGGTCCCGCTACGGTGCTGCAAGTTTGCCCGGTTTTGGGTGGGTCGTGTTTGGGGTTGGGTCTGTTTTCCTGGGGGGGTTGTGTTTGGGTGGGTTGGTTTGGGGGGGTTGGTCTGGGGGGGTTGGTTTGGGGGGTCTGGTCTGGTGTTTGGGGGGTCGTGTCTTGGGGGGGTATGTGTTTTGGGGGGGGTCTGTGTTGTGGTTTTGGGGGGTTTGGGTTTTTTGGTGGGTCTTGTGTCTCTGGGGGTCTGTGTCTGTGTGGTCTCTGTGGGTCTGTGTCTCTGTGTGTCTCTGGGTGGGTCTCTGTCTCTGTGGGTCTGTGTCTGTGTGTCTCTGGGTGGGTCTGTGTCTCTGTGTGTGTCTGGGTGGGTCTGTGTCTCTGGGTGGGTTGTGTCTCTGTTGGGTCTGTGTCTCTGTGTGGGTCTGTGTCTCTGTGTGGGTCTGTGTGGGTCTGTGTGGGTGTGGGTCTGTGTCTCTGTGTGGGTCTGTGTCTCTGTGTGGGTCTTTGTGGGTCTGTGTCTCTGTGTGGGTCTGGGGCTGTGTGTGTATGAGTTTTGGGCTTTGGTCATCCTTTTTTTTAAGCTGCTTTGTTGCATACTCTTTTAGACTACATCATGCAGTACCATATCCTCCAATCAGTGACATTCACCACAATGTCTTCATTCCTCTTCTTCTCTATTAGCTGCGTACCAAGTTGTCCTCTCAGGAGATCCAGCAGTTTGCTACTCTTCTTCATGAGTACCGTAACGGAGCGTCCGTCCATGAGTTCTGTATCAACCTCCGCCTGCTTTACGGGGACAGCAGGAAGTTCCTCCTACTGGGTGAGAACCACTTCCTGGGTCACGGTGTCAAAAGTCACAGGTCAAACCTGGGGGCGTGTTCAGCTCAGCAGCAGGCACCAAACAACTGGACGAAGTGTTTAGAAATGTACCTGTCTGAGCTTGACCGTTTTGCTACGTTGTGCCTTACTGAACACAACACTGCTGTTGTTGTTTTTTATCTGCCAAACAATCAATGAAAAGACAGTCAGGGTACATGATGGATATAGGAGTATGTTTTGCACACTTTAACTGTGCATTTTCATTGTGGCCCTCCTGTTCTCAATCCTTTCTCTCCTCCCTCCCATGTCTGAAGCCGTTTATCCAAGAGGAGGACAGCCATCACTTTGAGAACTTCCTGTTTAACACATACAATAAATTATACCCTCTCCCCCCCTCCCCCCTCTACCCCTGTCTCTCCTCCTCTTCCTCCTCCCCCTCTCCCTTCCTCTCCTCCTCTCACTCCCAGGCCTGAGGCCCTTCATCCCAGAGAAGGACAGCCAGCACTTTGAGAACTTCCTGGAGACCATCGGAGTTAAGGACGGCCGTGGCATCATCACCGACAGCTTCGGACGCTACCGCCGTTCCGCCTCCGACCCAACCACCAATGGGAACGGGGCGGCGGGAGGAGGCAGGTCTGATGAAGGAGATGAGTGGGACCGCATGATCTCTGATATCAGCAACGATATCGAGGCGCTAGGGGTCCGTGTGGAACAAGACTGACCCCTAACCCCTAGACCCTAACCCCTACCCCCAAGGCTGGGCTGCAGCATGGACCAGGAGGGGGGGGTTACGCCCTACACCCTAAACCCTACCCCCAAGGCTGGGCTGCAGGAGGGTCCAGGAGGGGGGGGGGGGTTACGCCCTAGACCCTAACCCCTACCCCCAAGGCTGGGCTGCAGCATGGACCAGGAGGGGGGGGGTTACGCCCTACACCCTAAACCCTACCCCCAAGGCTGGGCTGCAGGAGGGTCCAGGAGGGGGGGGGGGTTACGCCCTAGACCCTAACCCCTACCCCCAAGGCTGGGCTGCAGCATGGACCAGGAGGGGGGGGTTACGCCCTACACCCTAACCCCTACCCCCAAGGCTGGGCTGCAGGAGGGTCCAGGAGGGGGGGGGGGTTACGCCCTACACCCTAACCCCTACCCCCAAGGCTGGGCTGCAGGAGGGTCCAGGAACATTCCTAATGGACCACCTGATGGTGACCTGCTGCTTCGCTGTGAGCCACGGTGTAGTTTTGCTCGCTATTCATACTGGTATTTAGGAGCTTCTAACTAAGACTGTGAATAACTGACAATATACTATCATTATTGTCAGCATCTGCTGTCAGTGACCAGGATAACGCTGTAGTCTGGAGTCTCTCGTCACAATCGATCCCGATTGGCACCCTATTTCCTATATGGAGCAGTACTTTTGACCAGAGCTCTATATAGGGGGAATATAGAACCTGTCTGGTCTTGGAATATTAAATATTACATTGCCTGAGGATTGATGTAGAGGCATGCTTTACGATCTATCACTTCCTACCAAGGTGTTCTATGTTCTACACTCAGCCTATCACTTCCTACCAAGGTGTTCTATGTGCTACACTCAGCCTATCACTTCCTACCAAGGTGTTCTATGTTTTACACTCAGCCTATCACTTCCTACCAAGGTGTTCTATGTTCTACACTCAGCCTATCACTTCCTACCAAGGTGTTCTATGTTCTACACTCAGCCTATCACTTCCTACCAAGGTGTTCTATGTTCTACACTCAGCCTATCACTTCCTACCAAGGTTTACCCTTGTGTCTTATCTCAATCAACGAGAGCAGTTGGTAAAATGTGACTTTTTCTTTTTTTTTTTTTACGGAACATTTCCATTCAGAATATTAGGATGAAAAACATATCTGACAATACCAGGTACTGGCTGATTCCCAATCTGTTCTTAGAGCGTAGACCAGAGCCACGTAATTACAGAGTTGGACCGTTGAGGTTACTGCATTAACAACGCTCTAAATACATGGCTCTGGCGCAAACAGACCAACCAATCCTCATCTTCAGCCGGGTCACAGTAGATCACCTGCTTGGTGACGATTCAACATGTAGAATCGGCCGGAAAATGAACTGAAAATGGCGTCCGGCGTCCTGGTCAGAACAGAAGCACTCGGCCGTCGATCGTTGCGGTGTGTTCACTCTCTTACTGTATCTTACCCTGTCACCAGTCATTGTGCCTTCAGATACAGGCTTGCATCCCAAACGGCACCCTATTCCCTACGTAGTGCACTACTTTTGACTAGAGCCATATGGGCCCTGGTCAAAAGTAGTGCACTACGTAGGGAATAGGGTGCCATTTTGGTACGCGGACATACAGTAGCTGCTACTGCCCAGTAGGGATATGACCACCTCATTCTGAACTGTAATTGTACAGCTGTTGTTGTTGTTGTTGTTGTTGTTGTTGTTGTTGTTGTTGTGAGAACTGTGGTTATTTAATAACAACATATACTTTAAAGACATGCTCCGGAACTTTGGCGACTACTAAATCTTTTTTTTAAATGTACCTCCCCGCTTTGGGCTGGATGTGTCAACGTGTAGTTCATACATGCATAATCTATTCATTACTGTCTAACCTCAATTAGCCACCAAATCACTAGTTTGAAAGCAACTGTTTCTCTGGAAGTTGTGCTGCGCCATTTTCCCCTCGTGGGCCAGCGCCATTGGCAATTGGAGTTCTAGCCAATGAGCTTCAGCCCCTCGCCATTTGAGTGACAGCTAGCAAGATGCACACAGCAGAGCAATTTACATTTTACATTTTAGTCATTTAGCAGACACTCTTATCCAGAGCAACTTACAGGAGCAATTAGGGTTAAGTGCCTTGCTCAAGGGCACATCAACAGATTTTTCACCTACTCGGCTCGGGGATTAGAACCAGCGACCTTTCGATTACTGGCCCAATGCTCTTAACCAATAAGCTACCTGCCGCAATGACGTGGAGGACATATCTTATACACTGAGTATACGAAACATTAGGAGCACCTCTGGTACAAAAGAGAATCTCTTTAACATACAGGAGTCGGGTGTCATAGTGGCTATTACTAATGTCAGAGAGGATGTGGCGAAGGGAGAGGATTTACTCTGACCAAAAATCAGTCCGTGTGAGAAAAGCCCTTTTTAGCGTGGAGGTCAATGAGAGAGTGTCGAATTACGTGAGGCTTATTTGATCTAGTATACTTTTCATAATATTTCTGCTGTTACCAATGTACTGATGTAAGGGGATGCACGTGGCATTCCGGCAACTTTGAGAAAAAACGACTTACGAGTGTGAACAACGGGCACATCTATCTGCCCTCTCATTGGCTAGAATGGTCCCACCTGATAATAATAATATGCCATTTAGCAGACGCTTTTATCCAAAGCAACTTACAGTCATGTGTGCATACATTTTTACGTATGGGTGGTCCCCGGGATCGAACCCACTACCCTGGCGTTACAAGCACCGTGCTCTACCAATTGAGCTACAGAGGACCACGATCTGACCACTGATCTCACCTGCCTTCAATCATTGAGGACATGTACTTCCCATTGTTAGAGCGGTCACTCGGATTCATTACATTGACATCTCTGTCACAGACATGAAATCTGTAAACAATTCAGAGAAATTCTATCTTCTCCTGTCCTAAGGCCTAGGCAGTCCCAATCCCACTGAAACCCAAATCCTGACTCCTGTCTCGCATGAAAATTCTTTATTCTGTAATCCATAGGTTGCATTATCAAAACACGTCTCTCCATGTCAAAATACCGCTATAACATTTCCCCCCCGCTTCTCTGCGCTGCCTCGTGTTGCCGCCCATATGAAAGCTTCGATAGAGAGACATGTGCGATCAACAAAACGAACGGTATGAGAGTGGATATGGATATTTTTTTGAAACAGAGTTGGTCCCCTTTTGAGATACCTTGAAATTTAAACTACGTCCACTGTTCATTTCCCTGTTATTCCTGATCTGATATCTGTATAATCAACTCCATTTTGCCAAATGTAGGAGATATTCTGTCATTCATTGGAGGTTATATAGCAACTTTAGCAACTTTGGTCATTTTGACTTTTGTTTGACTGCGTTACAAAGTTAGTTAGTGTGTCCTGAGCGCACTCTGTGTTGAGATAGCCTACTGCTGAAATGCGCTGGCGATCAAAGATAGAGTAACTATCATTACTATACTGAACAAAAATATAAACGCAACATGCAACGATTTTACTGAGTTACAGTTCACAGTTCGTATAAGGAAATCAGTCAATTGAAAACGCTCCACTGCTCGATCGATCACTCCTCGATTGTATCTTGGAAGAAAGCAAAAATCCGTACTCACTGTAATATTCTTTTAAGTTTTAATGTCTTTTTTTTTTTTTTGAAGCAGCAGCAGATGTCAAAACGAATGGATGCGTTTTGGAGAACGAGAGACATCCATATTGATAGATGACTTCACATTGTAGTGCTACTATTCTTTTTAACAATCATTATCTACAGTCATTATTTACATACATTTTCTACTGCTTTTCACAAGAGCTTAAAAAATATAGATAATAATAAACTGAGAAATGCACCTCTTGCTCACAGGAAGCAACCTGACAGGACTTCTTCATTCTGGTCTCTAGGGCTTTCTGCCGTTACAAACAGAGAGCCCTAGAGGCCTTCATGAATAACTCCTGTTAAGCAGCACATGTCAAAGGAAAGATTATGAACCCCACGGTGTATTAGAACTTAAGCGGTGAAAAGTGCCAGAACTAAGCGTTTTATCACGGTGAGCTAATTGTGCAGACACTATTTTGCATATGATGCAGTTAATTTGAGTATCAGAATGTGCCAGTGGACTTTTGGTAAAGATGCTTTGGTGAAAAAGGGTTGGATCATGTCCAACTACGTGGACAGTTTTAATTGGCTGAGACTGAATTTGTTACTGTATATAATTATCTGCTCAGCTGGCCGTCCTCAGCATCGGGCTAATATGACCAGGTTGGTCTATGAGAAAAGCTAGCAGCTAGCCATTTTAGACCCAATAGTTCCCATGGTCTTAGCAAGTTCACAAGTGTGGACAATTTAGTTTAGTATATTTATTAACATAAAAAAAACAAGTAAAATGTAGAAGGTAGAAACTTGTGCAGGTGAGATTGGAAACCCAGGAGGGACAATATGTAGAAAACAGATGGAAGGAGAGGAACTACAGCTTTTAACAAGTCAATTCATTAATCAAAAGTACTTTTACTTTAATGTAAACTGTCCTTAGGGGCGGTGTCAAATCACAAGGTTGGGTTGGGTGAATTGTGACTATGCATGCATCCCAAATGGCGATGGTCAAAAGTAGTGTACAATATAGTGAATAGGATGCCATTTGGGAAGCAGTCGTTGTTTTGTCAACCTATAAGGGTAATTAGAGATCATGACCTTTGACCCCTTGCAGAATGGACGAGGCCTGCCTACCTGCCTTCTCGTGCTACATAGAGGCAGAGTATCAACTGATCCGATTGGGCAACAGTCACAGGTTAATGTGATCTGATTGGTTGACCCCCAGTAGAGTCACAGGTTAATCCCATCGCAGCAGGAACAGAACCGGTCCTTATTTAATAACAACATATATTTTAATTGATCAAGAGTATAATGTTGACACTATATTCTCTGTTGCAGTAGCTGCTGTATGTTGGTGTCTGGTGTGGAGATGAAGGGACCAGTAGCTGCTGTATGTTGGTGTCT